TTTGAAATTGCAGTGAAGAAGCTGATTATGCTCCAATGGCATGGCCAAAACAGAAGTCCATGGATAAGTGGCTTGTACTTCAGGCATTGTATCATTATGACAAACACGTCCTGCTTTTGCCTAATACTGCCACATGGCACTGTGTTAGATATCTGTGTCGGATGGTGTACTTTGCTGTGTACGCAGCAATATTGGTTTAGGTGAATGGTGAATACCATCAGCCCTGGTATTTCCTGTGCTTCTTGCAGCCATGGTGAAGCTGCTAAATGTTGGCTGTATGAATGTGACAGGGATGTTTGAGTAAAAATCTATATCCAGTCTCCTTGTCGGCAATTCCCGAGTGAAAAGCACACTGTTAATTTACCAGCTAGAGATCAGGCCAAAGTTTTAGATCACTTCTGGTTTTATTGTGATTTGATTGCTCACCTGTAGTAACCAGCCTGTCTGAGAACAAGAGTGTATGCCAATTCCCTGGGCTATTCTGTATTAAAAAAGAAAAAAGACTATGGTATAACTTTAGACTTAATCATCATTTACCCTACCCTGAAGGCATAGAAATTAATGATGATATAGATCTGCGTGGCTATGTGTTCCCCTTGACTGAGCATTAGAAATAATTAGGGCTTGTGGGATGGATGCACTGATGGTGGAGATGAGCAGAAAACATTTGCTGCTGTGTGTATGTGCCTCTTCCAAGTTTGCTGGCAAAGATACAGGTTACGTGTGTGCTTATGGGCTCTGCGGTTTCTTGCTTGTTTGTTGAGACATAGCTAGCTAGTGCTGAGGAAAAAGAAAGTGGGAATAAGTGAGATCTGTTGTTCTGGAGGGTTTTAAGATTATGAGCCAAGCAGAGCTGCTAGCGACTTCTGGAGAGATTTCTTCAGTGTAAGCATTCCTGCACTGAGTCCTACTGAGTACAGCTCTGGGTTATGACTGTGGAGTATCTACAGCATTGGGACTGCCCCAGGAGTCGTAAGCTATACAGAAGCTGGCAGTAGACCTCTTGAAGTGTGGAAGCCTCAAGTATGTAATTGGAGGCTTTCCTGAATTACCTCCTTCAGTGACCTGAATGTTTGGATCAGTTGGTTATTACCATACCCAAATGCGTGCTGATAGTCATCACAAGTCGGATGGGGACAAAGTGGTTTTGCTGCTCTGGAGAAAACCTCTGGTCTCTTTCTTGCTGTGGCTTGAGTGAAAGCCAGTTTCAGGGTTTTTATTTGAGTGCATAAAAGCCTTGTCTCTTCTCAAGTAGCCATGCAATGAATTATGGAAGCATCTTTTTGGGATGGTGGCAACCCTTCTATAAAGTCTCTGCTAAAATGGTTTCCTCTGTGTTGCAGGTACTGATTTTAGATGCTGTTTTCCCACCGTTTCTTCCCCAACCTGGCCAATCTACATTTATTTTTTTTTTATGATATCTATTTCAGCAAGAATGTTGCTTGTGCTAGGCTGGAAAGCGGTGGGAAGAGAGTTTGTGCCAAGTCTGCATGGACTCGTGTAGTGGGACTGTGTGCTGGTGGCCTCTCTGGCAGGGCCGGATGGAAAGGCTGCCTGTGTGTCCCAAAAGCGTTGGTAGCGCCATCACCCTGTGTGGAGAGCTCTTGCAGCTGGGCTATTAAAGGAGCCATGCCTTTGGAGAGGGGGTGCCGGGACTCTAGCCTGATTCAAGGCTGAACCTAGGTGGGACTGGGAGTTGGCAATGATGCAAGTAAAGGACAGATGTACTGGCAATGACTGGGTAGGGTACTGATGGAGAAGATGCAGATACCTTGTATCTAGATGAAACAGTGGTAATTTGTGTTTACATCAGAATTTTGGGCATTTTCACAGCACAAATGCACATGGTCCTTACAGGCAATTTAGAATAACTGCTGGCTAAATATATTCCTGGCAGATCAATGTAGTGTGGTATTTTAGAAGATACACTATGAAAGCAGTCCTGGGCAGAAGCATATGGAACAGACTTAGGCCCCCCAGAGTTGTGTGGGCTGTGCTAGGAGCCCCTCCATTGCGGAGTAGCCTGAGCACAGGAGGAGCTTAAAGTCACTTGTTGCCTTTTGTCTTTCTGGTATGTGAATTTTGGGTTACTGTGCCACACCTGTCAAAAGGTGTATCCAGTCCTCTCCCATTTATTTTTATTCTATGCATAATTCTACTACAATAAGGGAGGAACTGAGTCTTTTCTAACTGGAGATTCAGTATTCAGTTCTGCTGGCTGACTCACCGCTAGGAAGATTCCCACTGACTTGAGTTAGAGCTGAATGGGTTGTATTATCTTTTCATATGCAGAAAATTATTTTGAAATTGAAGTTAATAACTGCAATTTTAAAATTGTCATTGATAGCAAGATAATACAATATTTAGTTGTATCTTGTTATTTTTATGATCTGATGCCTGAATGAAACATTTTTTCTTTTTTTTTAATTAGCATGTTATGAAGAAGTTTGTGGCATCAAACACACCATCTAATTACATTCATTAGTAGCATCTCCAGGACAAGTTTTAATTAAATTGTACAATGTAGATCAATACTTGTTTTGAATCCATTTCAACTTACGACAGGAATATATTGTTCTGCACAGTTTAATTACAGTGTCTGTAATAGAAGGAATTTGAGTAAACCTGCCAGTTTGGCAGTCACACTCCTGTCTCTTGCCTTTTAAAATAACATGTCCTGTATTATAACTGTATGCTATTTATGTATGTCCTATTGTGAAGAATATGTTAAGATCATTTTTTTTTATCCTATTGAAAAGAAACTGCAGTGTGGTTCGGGAGCACTTGGATACTAGTGCTTGACTTCAACTGGAACGGGAGAAATTAATGGGCATTTTTCCTCAAGACTTTGGGAGGGGAAAGGCTGCCCAGCACTGGGTGACACATCTAGTGGTAGGTAATAGGAATGCTTTTATTTTGCCTGGGCTATGAGGTGGAAAGCCACCTAATTGTATGTTTACTTACTGTGAATGTAGTTCATTGCGGTCTCTAAGTATTGCTTCCACCAAATGTCCTGTAGATTGGTAACGTTGCCAGCTCCCAACTGTTTTCTGTTTTGGCAGGAGAAAGCATTCCAGGCATGAAAACCCTGAGCTACCAAATGTTTTTGCTCAACTTAATGAAAATGTACTTGGCTAGGTAGAACGTCTATATACCTTATGGTAGTGTCCTTTAGTAATACTTGCATACATTGTGAGAATATCAAATAGACAACTCTTTAAGACAGATATTTGATGCCAGAACTGAGAACTGATTGTTTTCTGCCCGAGTGTGTATTTTTGCGTCTTGGGCTGGTTTTGTGTACACGGGATTGTAGCAGTCAGCCTTCAGTGTGGGTAAAATGATGAAGACCAAACTGACTCAGACAACTTTGTTGTGTTTTTTCTTTTTTTTTTTTTTAACCAAATCTGTTGTTTAATCATTCTAAAATTTTGTTTTGTATTATGTTACTTATATTCATAATTTAATATTATATTTAAGATTTTAAAGGAACATACCTTTTAGTATAGGTATTTCTGGGTTTTCTTACTGTTTCTCTGGAAACAGTGTAATCCTGATATCTGAGGAACTTTCATGGCAGCATTGGTAATTTTGTCTGCAGTTCCCTGCAGTGGGATGACCTGTGCTGGTGTAAGGTAGGCTCTGTATACTTCATAGCCATTTCTGTTGGCTATTTCGATGTGCAGTGGCAGCAAATCAGCCTGATAAAGAATTAGTGGTGATGGTTATGATACTCATATCCTTTATTCTTGTGCATGCAACATGCTTGTTTCTGTTCTGTGGCAATCTAAGTACCTACATGGCTGCATTTCTAAAAGGAGTGAGCACAGCGCCTCCTCCATCTGTTTCAGGCTTGTTCTTGGACTAGATCATCATGGGCTGGGAAGTCTTGAAAGTCCAACTGGGAAAACTTCCAGTGGGATTTTTAAAGAGCAAGGAGAAGATCAGGAATTGAAGACCCAGGGAAATAGCTTCCTTTTCAGGAAGGACATGAATACAAAAAGTGAGGTATCACACAGACAAATATACTGTGAGAAGTGAGCGTTGTAATCCAAAGACAAGGAAGCGTGCTTCTAAAGTACAAGAAAGTCTTCATAGGTTGAGATTTTTGATGACAGCTGTTAATGCAGAGACGAGCTTTTTTACTTCAAGATTTAAACCCCTAAATACAGGAGCTGAAAGTTCAGCGTCAGAAGCTCCTATAGTTTTTCTTAGCTGAGTGAAGTGTGTGTAGATTTAGTTACTTCACACTTTTTACTCAGTATTTCAGGTAAAATGAGGGGGGGGAGGAAATGTTAAAAGCTTAGGAATATTTTTTTTTTTTGCTGCTTAATATAAATTGCTGATTGCTTATGTGTTTTAAAATGCCTCCAGATTTGTGTGTGTGTGTGTAAAAAATTATCCCTTGGATACCTTATAATGATGTTGTCAAAGACTTGGGGAAAAATGTGGGAGATAGAATAGATTCCTGGTAACAGTAATACTATAATACCTGCACATAAAGTACTTTGAATTAATGATAATCTGGAAACTCTGCATCTGTTGTTTCATGTTTCATTTTGTCTCCAAGGCCTGTTTATGCTACAGCATGTGCTACCTTAGAAGAAATGTATGTGTGAACCTGCATAGGTGTTTGTATGTACAGCTATGTACTTTGTCTTACATATGCACATAAACACACAGTGTGCATTATTTATTTATTCCCCACAGAAGACTAGATCCTAGGAATGGGAAGGATCTGGATCTTACAAGAGTTTAGTGCATGTGCAACTTGGTTTCAGTGGCAGATCTCAACGGAATAAAGTAATGCATACATAGAACTGTTTTCAGTGTATGACCTCATTGTTAGAGGAGTTGTAGCGTTGTTACTCTGCTTTACAAAAATCCAACTTCCTTGGTTAATTTTAAGTAGCTTGTTTACTCTAGCCACCTAAACCTTGAAATATTTATTGAATGTTGCAATGCACTCATCTTTAACATTTTTTTCCTCTTATTTTCAGTGAATTTACTGGACTCACGGACGGTAATGGGGGATCTAGGATGGATAGCCTATCCAAAAAATGGGGTAAGTCTCTGTTGTTGTTTGCTTTCTCTCTTGCAAATTATACTAATTGTTTCCATTTGGAAAGTAGACTACTGGGTTTAAAAACTCCCTGGAGTGGTTTGTCAGCAATGGAGGGAGAAAAATAAAACAACAAGCTGTGACTGGAAAAATGAAGCTGTGTGGCTAGGGGATTGATTTATTTATGCAGTGGAGCCAGCCACAAGTTTTAAAAAAAACCCATAAGTCAACCCCCTCACTCCTTCCCTCACCAAGAAAATCCATGAGGTTATTTAAATTTTTTTAAACTATAAATTCCTGCTCTCTTTGAGCCTTTGGGGCAAATGTATGACACAATTTCCTGGAAATCTTTTTCTGAAACACAGGCCCTGGGCCATTACTGTTAGATTTAAATAAACAGGGCAGTTTAGAAACACTTCTCAGGCCCATGATAAAATTCTGAGATCTGATAAAACTGGAGCAGGAGCTGAGTTTTAAACACCTTGAAGAGCCTCTGTCCCTATAATGAGAACTGAAAGAACCTGGCTTCCTAATTTCATACCTGAAATAAGTGTTGGAGTTTAGATGCATTAATACCCTCCATTGTGTCTGCCTGGCCTGACTACATCATGTGAGCAGTCATTGCTGTGGCTTTGGCTTGTCTAGGGCATCCTTAATGCTGTACTGTAACAGAGCTTTGGTACAGTCTTGAAATGTTGACTTATTCACAGCGCTGAGTGTTTCTGTCAGTTCCTGGGAGCCATGAGCAGCATCTGAGGTGAGAAATGATCCCAACACAGAAATGCTGCATGACTGAGCCCTCCAACAGAGCCGCTCTCAGGAATGTGTTATTCCAGAGCTTTACTCACCAGCTGAAATGGGCTGCAAAACTGTCCTGGGCTCCAGTTGGATTGTCATAAAAATGGTGGCAGTGTTTATATGAAATGCAGCCAACCCTGCATATATATGTGTGTGTATATATATACATATATATATATTGCACAGTGAATGACACAGTGGCTTTCCATGTGTTCTGTGTGGATGAAAGGTGGTAGAAATGGCAACTTCACTCAGGCAAGCTGTGTGGCAGTGATGTAAAAGCTACATGGGGAGCTGACTTTATCCTCAGTTTAGTTCAAGATCTAATCCTGTTGTGGTCAAAGTCAATAACAATATATATTTTTTTAATCTATTAATTTAAAGCTGAGAACTAAACTCGCTCCCCTTGCATGTGTGAGCATCAGAATAACGAGCCAGTACTAGGTGTGCTAGCATCATGTGTTGGTGCCATGGCACGCTATGAAGATCCTGATGTCCACTTCTTAATAGAAGATTTTTCCTTTTTGAACACCTCTTGGTGTTATTCCTGTGGTATAAAGCACAATTGCTGTATATTCCAATGTCTGACAGGAATATCAGTATTAAAATAACTCCTGATGAGTTCAAAAGACTGCTGAGTCTGTATAGGTAGATGAGTAAATGTAAAGCTAAATATCCCATGCAAACGCCTCAGTTGTATCTTTTAATAATTTAGAGAGACCTTTCTACATTTACGAGCTCAGTTTCCAAACAGCACTTGGAAGTGCACTCATGAATGCCAAATGAATGGTTACTCACTCAATAGGAAGATTTTTTTTTTCCTTCCTTAAATTAACTTCCACAAATAAAAAGTGAATCAGGCAGTTGGGTTTGAATTTCCAGAGATCTCCTCTTAATCTTCTTTGTTTTCATGGGATATCATAAAAATTTAGGAGGTCAGTCCAACTGTCTGGGTTTTTTTTTTTGCCTAATATAGTTGCAGTATTTTGCAAGTACTTTCCAGAGTTACTTCTCTAACTGCCTTACCTGCTCTGCACTCAGCTGTGCTGCACTCATGCACTGTTTACTTAGTTTTTTAAAAGATCTACCTTGTAGAAAGATTTAAAGCAATTCACTTCAGGATCTGAATTTGTAAAAGGAGGGATCTTTAACTGACATCAGAGATATGCAGCTATTTTTTGAGGTATTATCATGCAAATTTGTTAAGATGTCCTCTTAGGGAAAATCTTGGAAGGCCTGTGTATCTGCATCAAGGAAAGGAGCAGAAATGTCATAATGTGTCACACTTGGCAACACTATAGTGTGTAGATACAGACCATGTGCTGAAATAAGCTTTTTGATGCGTGGTATTTTATTACTGTTATTAACAGTATTCTGTAGAGTCTAGTCATGCATGATAGCAATTCAATGGTGATACGGTTCCAGCTGAAGATACATTAACTTTTGAAGTATGCTTCCACTCTTCTAGTGTTGCTGCTTCTCCACTTGATTTTTATTATGAATCTTAAGGAAACAGTGTTTTTCCTAGGACTGACTACATCTGCTGCAAGTAGGAGATTGCACCAGGAGCACAGCTGCTGTTAAAGAAAGCAAGTATTTAGTCTTCATAGTTGTATGTGAGTGCCTGGGAGAAGGTTATCTGTGTATTACAAAGGTTCAAGCTGGTAGGTTTTCAAATCAGATTTCCACATTTATAAAAAAACAAACAAATAAAATCACCCTCAACCGAACACAAATCCCACCAAAACAATGGGGGTAAGATACCCAGTCAAGCCAAAGTAGTGCTTTTGGCACATCTTGTGTAGGTGTTGTAGTCTAAATTTTTATTATAGCGGTGTGTCATGGTAATTTTTGTGTATTAAAGCTTTAAGACATTCCATGATCCAGAGAGGTCCAGCCACCTTTATTTAGCCTGTTGCTCACCCCATTTTTGCTGAACATAATGGGAAAGTGTGATCTAATTTGGGAAATGAAAGCAGCAGTGTTTGGGAAGAAGACTGATCCTGTAGTCTGCAGGCAGATGAGTTTTAGAGGTAGACCTGTTTCATGTCTGTAATTCCAGATAAAGCACTGCAGCTGCTTTACTCCCCACAAGATCAGACCTATATCTACTGATAAACAGTATTCAGCAACTCATCTTGTGAGTAATAGGTTTTAGGGGAAGGGAGACCATCAGTTTAGCCAAAGGTTGTCTCTTAAGAGCTTTGTCTAGCTAGGTGCTTATTTGGTGCAGGTTTTGGTGTGCATGATCCCTGTAACCTGGGTGTCCTTCATTTCTTCCATGCACATCGAAGGTAAGAAAAATCCTCCTCTTCCTTTTTTGTGGAGCATTGAGTGGCCAGTGGAAATGAAATGATGTGACTGAAATATGCTGTGGCCAAGCAGGGGTTGAAACAATGTCTAGGAGACATTGTGTGAAGAGCTTTTGTGCAGCAGAAGGTGCTTTCTTCTTTCTGCTGCTTTGCTCTGAAAGATTAATGTGGTAGTGTGGCTTCCTGGCTGCCCCAAGAGGCCTTCTCTGGCTGTGTGGGTTCATCAGCTTGCAGCAGTTGAGCAGTCAGCTCTTAAACCTGCAGTTATAGCTATTAGAGTGTGAGCAAAGTCTTTGTGAGTCTTTGCATGGCCATAGAGCTCAGAAAAAGGACTCTCCCTGCCAATGGTTTGTGGTCAGCTGCCACTTTTTCAGCTCAAGTTAGGAACTGATCCTGTTATTATCTGCCAAAGGGACAATCTGGACTTTGTGTTGCAGCTCATGGAAGTTTATTTTAACCTGGAGGAGGTTATTAGAATTACCAGAGGCTATATCAGAAAAGTCTGGTCCCTCTTGAGTAGTAGGAAGTGTTCCAAGTACATCAACAAAACCAGTCAGGCTTTTTTATTAAAGCTATGCATTAAAATACAGAGGTCTGCAAAGTCTTTTACCTCTGGACTGATTCCTGGAGTGTTGTTTAGGATTATCTGAATTGGACACATCAGAGGTTTACATGTGCGTTATATATGGCTGTGACACTGACACCTACAGAAACTGCCTGCACTTGCCTGTGCTAAGCATGTATTTTTATCATACGGAAGTACACATAAGCCTAAATACAGGGTGTTTGCAGGCTGTATTGCCTCATCTCCTCCCTTGTTTTGGCAGGAGACTCAGTGATGCATTTTGACTTCCTAAAAAACCATAGCTGCGGAGAATCTCCTATCAGCCTGTGCTGTTCAGTCGTATTTGGTCTGGCCATGTAAAAACATAACCACTTTTAACAATATCTAGATAATTGCAAAACTGATTAAAATAAATGTTTTCTTTTGCCTGTTTGATTTATTCAGTGATTATGTCTGATTTTTGTTCCAGCGGCTGTAATAGCACTGATTTACTTGTTTTAGACCCTCCTTCCTTTCAGGGCGTATTTTAAAACTTCTTTGCAGCTTAGAAGACCTCTTTCTGTCCCAGTTAGAAAACTGCACACCTGCTATGCTTTTGTGTAATGGGGTCCTCTCCCATCTCCTCCACTTCCCATTGATTTTCCTGCTCTTCCTGTAGCACAGAACAGGAAAGCCTCTGTGGTACCTGGGGAATTGGCCATGTTCTGTGGCTCATGGCACAGCTCCATGTGCTGTGATTTTCTTTTTAGGCTCAGACAGGAAAATAAGCATGTACTAAGAAACCTAGTCCTGTGGAGAGGTTACAATTCTTTATTCATTACAGAAGATAAGGCTAGATGACTTCTTGTGCGTGAATAGTGAGAGAGAAGACAATTACCCCTGCTTTTGGTGGTTAATAAGGGCAAATACCAAAAGTCAGAGGATAAATTCAACCAGATTGATTCTTCAAGTTGCTTCTCATTTATGAAGGACATTGGTGGGTTTGATATTTTTTTCCCTCCCCAAGCGGCATTTCTGGCTCATTCTTTTGAGCACAGGTACCCGAGGGTGCCTCTTTGAAGTTAAAAATAACAGTGGTTTAGATTACTCAGCATGGTTTGTGAATAGGTTCATGTTGCTCTATGTCAATCTTAGTTCAGATAGAGATTTTTATACAAGAATCCTGGATTGGAGGCAGTGTTTGCCCTCAGGGACAGGAATTAAATAAAGGGGGAGGGATGTGGGGTAGTGAAAGGAGAAGGAGGATTCCTGGCACCGTTGAGCTGTGTCATATAGCTATGATTATAATTGGCATTTTTAGGGCAGTACTTCTGGCAGCCTGTAATTGT